TTTAGTTTAATTTAATTTTCTGCGAAAGCTGAATTTTTCTGCTGCGTTATTTTTTTTTTAAATTAAACCATTTAGAAAAAACGATGCGGCTGTTAATAAAATTTTATGCCCAGTACGTTGCTGACAAATGGTAATTTTTGAGCGCGGAAAGAAAATTTGGTCATTACATGTTTATAATGATGAGCAGTAGTAACGGTTCTTTCAAACAATCCTTTCTCTTTCAGTCATCACACCGAATTATGATGTGTTGGCTGGCCGTTTGTCTCTTCCATTCTAAGTAGTTACTGTTCCAGCGAGAGTGAAATTCGGTTAGAATAAAAAAACTTTCTCTGTAATTAAATAATTCAGTCAAATTAAATATTTATATTGTTAATAAAAGAGTATTGTATTATCTTCCGTGACTCAGCCAAAATTTTTGCGGCTATAATTTATAACTTTGCCACATTTTTTTTTTCATTTTTTCTTTTCATAATTTCTTAAGTTAAGTACTAAATTGTCATTAATAACACTTTTAAAAAATATTTAATGAAAACGATCAATTGAATGGAAGGCTAACAATCCGAACTTTCAGTTCACGACTGTTCGCACTATAATAATATGTAACGCAGACAATTGATAAGACAAGCAAACCTTCATACTTCGCAGACTGTAAAGTCAGTCAAATGTGAAGTCTGATCGCGTGAAAGAACTTTATGTTATCGATTTCCTGACAAGTTAGACAGATGTTAGAATTTTATTTCGTCTATAGCAGTTCTGTTACTGCGGTAACTGTCAGCTAATTCAAAAATTTCCATTGGTTTTATCGAGTTATTTGTTGAGTATCAAACTCCAACAAATTTTACTTTGTCCTCTACAATTTTAAGGGTATAAGTTGTAACTGAGGCGATGAAAATATTTTCGCGGTGAATTGCATTCCTTTTTCATTCCCAGTGATTTTTTATTTTATGGCCGTTTGAAAAATGCGGGAACAATGTCGCGGAATTTAACATTTTTTTTTTGTAGTTTGTGTTTATAATATAATATAACTTTAACACTTTTTTATCTGAAGCGCTTTTTTTCATTAATAAATTTTTAATATATGTATATAATTGAAGTAATAAATTAGTTTAGTTTTTTTTTATGTATTTTTATAAATAAAACTAATTAATTAATTGAGTAATTATTCAGTCAATAATTCGCAGAAAAAGAAGATACGACTTGAAAGAGAACAAAGTAATTAATGACGTAAAAAATAATAATAATTTATTGTGAAAGCATTGCGTCGTGGATGAACGAATGCGTCTTTGATTTTAATTTCCAATTTCCTCAAATGAAATCATGTCTACAACGATGTTCGACGAAAATACATCGATTGATAAATAGCGCATGCTAATGTCTAATAAGCATAGAAAAGTAAAACGTAACAATGTGATTGTATATTAATTTAAAATAAAAATAAAAAATAGAATACATATAATTTGAGCATACAAAGTAGCAAATATGATTAGTTTTGAAAGTAATACTTTGATATAAATTATATATTTTCATTTTAACAACTTTAAATAACCGGCGTTTAAATGAAAATTAATTAAAATTCTGGGCAAGAGCTAAATGAATAGAAGGAATTTAATTATTTTGGCTGTTTTAAAGTTATTGAATTATAAAGTTGCAGGTTTTGTCCTTGGGACGGAAATTCACGTCTAGTCGCTTATATTAGATAAATAAAACGTTGGATGTTGGATCCTGAATTTATTTAATCGAATTTATTCTTCCGAGAACTTTTGTATACGAAATATAAGAATAGTAAAAGATACATAACAATAAACAGGACGAATTGGTTCACTGAGAGTGTCTTTTTATTTGTAATAAAACTAAATTTGAATAGAACAAATAAATTCAACGGAAATCAATATCAAATCACGCCTTGTTGAGCTCGAAATAATAATAATAAAGACAATAAATTTTCAAATTTACTCTACGTACTTAACATTTAATTATCTGAATATTTTTTTTGAATTTTTTTTGAACTCCAATAAGGAATTAAGAGTTTCAAGTGCAAAAAGTTTTTTAATATCACTTTCAATGCTCCAAATAATTTAAAAAAAATGCATATTTTTAATTGCAACAGTTTTAATCCATGCATTCATATCAAATCTTTCAACAAGTTTTTTCATATCGTTAAATGTGTGCAGCACTATTTTCATTTAAATGAAACTATCTCAAGCTTAAAAATATAACAACGAAAAAGACACTATTATTTTATAAAAAATCATCAAATATTAAAAATATAAATAATAATTCAAAAGATCAAATAATTTTCAATCTCGACGAATTATTCATGTCAATTCTACAATAGTTACCATCAATAATTGTCGTTAAATCACTAAAAAAAAAACTTCTCTCTTCAAAAAATTAAAAAAAAAAAATATACATGCGTTATCGCGAAACTTGTCAATTTATATTGACCAGTCCTTACCGTACAGTCTACATATTTTTACGACTCGTAAACAAAGTTCGGTATTTTCGTAAACGCGTGATTAACAAATTAAATATATATATATATATATAT